TAACAGTGGGAGGGACTTTGCTCCCCCAGTCCCCATCTTGCTGTCCATCCACTCAAGAACTGTAGGAAGAGAGGTTACCATTGAAGACTGAGGCAAAAATGTTGAGTATCTCAGCCTTCTACTCATCCATTGTTACCAGCTTACCAACTTTGTTTATCAGGGGATATACCTTCTTTGGTCTATCTTGCATATAGGCCTAATCGAAAAGTAGGTTCATTATCTCATGAAATGAAGAAAAGAAATGCTAAATTTTATAAAATGTTCTAAATGATGAGAACAACTCTCTTATTTGCGCAAAATCTATATGAAAATCTACCATGATACTTAACTGTTTTCATGGTTTCACCACAGCCAGCAACCAAGACCCGCGCAGCCACTCGCTCACTCCCCACACCAGCAGGACTGGGGAGAAAATCAGAAGGGTAAAAGGTAGAAAACTCATAGGTTGAGATAAGGACGGTTCAATAGGGAAAGCAAAAGCCTCACACACAAGCAAAGCACAAGAAGAAAATAATCCACTGCTTCCCTTGGGCAGATAGGTGTTCAGCCATCTCCAGGAGAGCAGGGCCCCATCACCTGTAATGGTTACTTGGGAAGACAAATACCATCACTCTAAATGTCCTGCCCTTTCTCCTTCTTCCTCCCACTTTATATACTGAGCATGATGTCATATGACATGGAATATCCCTTTGGTCAGTTTGAGTTAGCTTTCCCAGCTGTGTCTCCTCCCAACCTCTCATGCACTCCCAACCTCCTTTGCCAGCATGGCAGCATGAAAAGCAGAAAAGGCCTTGGCTCTGTGTAAGCCCTGCTCAGCAATAACAAAAACATCTCTATATTATCAACTCTGTGTTCAGCACAAATCCAAAATATAGCCCAATACTAGCCACTATGAAGAAAGTTAACTTTAGCCCAGCCAAAATCAGCACAGCTGTTCATAAGATTTAATCTAGCTTTGAAATGTATGTTGCCAAGAATTTCCAGAAAACTGTTCTAACATAAAACTATGAGTACAATTATCAGAATGTTTACTCTGTAGCCTTGCCACCCACCCCAGGTTATTTATGTGCCCATCCTTGGGTTAAGAGTAGGTTAAAATGAAAGTACTTAAACACACTATCTGCAAATACATAGCACTAGTAAGCATGAATGTTAGTCCTGCTAAATAGGACAAAACAAGCCAAATTTTGCTCCTATTCACATAGGATTGTGAGCAGATGACAGTCACAAGGATTCAGTCTACATTTGGTTGTTAAAATTATGTTTTATTCCTTGATAACTGACAAAGGCATTATTTGTGAGTTTTGAGTCATTATTTGTGTATCACTGAAAGTTAATCTTTCACCTACTGCTATATTAGCCTAAATTGATAAAAACTTGTGATTATTTGTTTATTCATTCTTTGATATTTTTTTAAAGTAAAATTATTTCCATGTCTTCATGGAAAATTCCTCTATAGCTGTGGGTGGAAGGAATGAAGCTGGTTAAGTAATTCTGAATCCATTTTAGAAAACTTCTCTTTTGCTACACAGAAGCATATTTATGTTTTTAATTAAAATATAAAGAGGCTGTAAATTGCTGGTCAATTTTATACTGTTCTGTCACCTCCCATTAATGCAAATATGGAAGATATATTTCATAAAATAAATATATGGGGCAAGGATTCATGTGGCATGCTGAGAGTCTCTCTTTTTACAGTACCTAGCATAACACAGCTGTAACCTAGCTGATGTCTCTCAGCTCTACAGCAATATAAATGTTAATAAATTCCATCAGCTAAAACGTGATGTTCAGAGAAGGATTACTAAACAGGTACTTACATAAGCATTATCAGATAGTTGTACCTATTTTATATAACTGATCAGTCATTAAGCACAATAGGGAAAAGAACAATGCACAGGAGACTTGCATGGGATTTTACTTTTTTATATGTAGACTAACAACTTGGATAGTATTCAGAAGAGACACAAAGATTATAATAATCAGATTTGCTTTTTCAGTGCTGTCACTGTTACGGGGTTAGCTGCACATCAGACCCCTCCTCAGTCTCTCCCTATCTCACGTGGGCCTTCCTGAATGGCAGATGAGCTGCTCCATTGCCCCTGAGGTTAAATCCTGCAGATCTCTGACTCACAGCCTCGTCCCCAGCTGCAGAGGACTACCCAGCCAGACGTGACTCCTGTGCTGAATTTAGTGCTTGGATGGGACTTTTTTTTGGTTTGACTTCTGTTAGCAGATGCAATGACTCAGAACAGCTTTTTCAACACCTCTGTGCAGCACTAAGATCATATGACAATAAAAAATATCCCAAAATCAGAAGCAAATGAGTAAAGGTTATGTGATCTAAAACTTAAGTAGGTCTAATTCATGTCAGACACTATCCCTAGAGGACAGAAAATCTAACTCTGTATTTTTCTTCTCTCCCTTCTGTTTCAGAGCTCAGGATTTTTCAGATGTGCAAAACCCCTAAGAGGAAGTGAACTCCCAGTTATTTCTCAGCAAGATACTCCAGCAAGGGACACGTGAAAATCATTGAAAAATCTTATTTCTTCTACACTCTTTCTATATTAAAATCTGTTTAAATCTGAAAAGTTTCCTACATGGTCTCTTTACCAATCCCAAAAAAATCAATCTGAGTCAGCTCAAAAATCTTTTAGATATAGAATTTAAAAAACCCTAGAAAATAAAATTTGAAATAGCCTTTTATTCAGTAGGTTAAAAAAATGCCCTAATAGTAGCATGATCAGAATTCAAGAAGGACAAAAGGTTTTGTTAGGTTAAGGCACATGGCCATTTTTCCAAATAGAAATTATCAAGGAATATTATTAACTCACACGTCTGCAATCACAAGATTTCTGTTTAGTCACTTACAATGCATGGATGTAAACACACAAAACATGGAACTCAGGGTCTGGAAGAACCACCTCATTCTGCAAGATTTCTCAAAGTGAGGAATGCAGCCTTCTGCAAAGGCCACAAAAATGAACTGAAGCTGGCAAAGATGGGAGCAAGACACGCATCTCTGAGTTGTTCTTCAGGGTCCTAAACAGTGTAATCCCAGAATTATTCTTTCAGGTTCTCTCTTGCTAGAGGAAGGGAACTCTGAAGTATCATTTATGCAATAGCTGGGAAGCTCCCTTCACCTTACCAACCCCTGAAAAGTAAAAAAAAAGAGAAAGAACCCAAGAAACACCCAATGGATCATAATTTATTTAATTATGGACCACCTTGACTTTTAAACTATTAGACTGCTCAAAGAACATTTATAAGAGAAGGCAGAAAACCCATTATTCATATCTGCATGTAGTGGTTTGGTACACCCAGTATTATCCTTTTTGCAAAAAGTGACTAGCATATAAAAATTGTGAATTGCTGCCCAAAAGGCAGATTTTTCCATAATTGATCATTAATGTGTTCCTTGTACCTTCTTCTGAAACAGCCAGTATTGACTGCTGTCAGGGACAGAATAATCTATTAGGCAAACTCATACTGAATCAGAGTAACATGGGGATTCCTAAATGTTGTTGTTGCTAAACTTAAAACAGAATATTAAGTATTTATTTAAAGAGATAGGAAAGCAGTTTTTAGTCAAATCCTATGGATTTCACAGATGAATATGTTTGTTATTATTGCCATTGTTCCTTTGTGGAGGCTCCTGATGATGATTGTAAAATCTAGCAATTTTTCATCCCCTACCCTTAGCTGTACCTCTTGTGCTGTTTCAAACAAAAAGCACAAAGCACTGACCCTCCAGAAACAGAATGTCATTTGGGATGAAAAATTCTGCCATTGCATTGTTGTAAAGACACAATTTAAGAGAGCTAAAATAGATATGCAAATCCTGATGACTAGTATTCTGAAACATGCCTGCAGGAACATCAGGTAGGGTGCAATCAAGGAAGAAAAATGTTGCTGTTCTAGGGATAACACCTTGAATTTAAAGACAGGGCTCCAGTTGAGGGCTGAGAAATGCAAATTCTCATGTTAAACTGATCATTTATATATATTTAAAAGCAGAGACTATAATTCAGAAAAGCACCATACATATTCTTAAATCCCTTTTTCCTGGGAAAGAAGAGACATTCACCATGTACCTTCACCACGTACCTTCCATGATTGACGGCCATCAGTGAGAAGAGTCTGCGGCAGAGTGAGAAAGGTCTACTGGTAGAGCTGGGGTATTTGACTGAAGCAGTTACATGGGCAGTTGCTTCCAGTATTAACATAATTATCCCTCCTTTCCACTGATATAACTAATTTATTTTACAGGGTGTGACTTTGGTAATTTTGCAATGTACACACACCCAGATCTCACTGGAACCGTCCAAATATATCAACATCTTTGTCCTAACAAAAGGCTGTAAGGATCCTTTCCTCAAATAGTTTGCTAGGTAAGGACACTTTCCAGAACTGGAAAGAAAGAAATAAATGCAGAGAAATATAAATATGCTGTTATTTAATGCCAGTTGAATTCCAAGGATAAAATAAAGGAAAAAATGCAGCAGGCTGCTTTTCACTGATGAGAATCAGTTCCCTGACAGTTTTCCTACAGAACAATAAAATACATATCTTTAAATGAATGGCCAAATTTGGATGATTTACCAATGCCAAGACTCACAAACTCCTTTTTTAAGTGCCTGTTTCTCAAGTCAGTCCTGCTATACAGGAGCAGGGCAGATGCCAGCTCCAGCCATGTGCCCCAATGCACCAGCACACACCAGCCATGCACCAGCCTGTACCCACCAGCTTGGGCACCTGCTCAGGGGCAGACATGCTTCCCCCGGTGGCACGGGAAGACAAGCAATGCAGTCCTGGGAGAAGACTGCTTGGAAACAAACCTACAAAATTCCTGACCTTATTCCCAGTTTTCACCTGAGACGCCTTTAGTGAAATGCAGTAATGGAGCAGCTTGGAGCTGCAGACAAGCAGTACTGATGTGTCACACAGCTGTAGAAGTCCATCTGTGACATTGTAGGTATTGTATAATGCAAATCTTATTGGTTCCTTCTAGCTTCAAACCTCCAGAAGGGCCTGTGATACACAGATAATATAGATTTTATTTAGAAAATAGCTCCCACTTCAGGAACAACAATGACTTGGATGAAATCAGCCATAAGTGCAGTCACTATATTTTGCCAGTGGCTTCAAAGTAAGCATTAAAGAAATTATCACTGTTAAATTCTTTTTGTCGTTTCGACAATTCCAATAAATTCCATTTACATCAGTGCTTTTGTCAAAGGCAATAATGTAATCTATTTTGTTTCTCTGTTAAGTGTGTTTACCACACTAATTTTTTTTTGTGTAGTAAAATACAATGTAGTTTGAATAAAATGTTATAATTTGATTATTTTCTGCATAGTCACCCAGTTTAGCAAGTTGTGATGGAAGCTTTGTCAGGTTTCAGCATATTTTATTACTTCAGAAAGGTTTACAGCTTTTTGTGACAAATATTAGTATCATTCATTTGATGTCTTGAAGAGGCATGAAAAAATAAAGAACAGAAAGAGCTCATGGGCAAGAAAGAAACAACTTCCAAGGAAGATGTGTACTCATAGAAGTAATGAAAGTTCTAAAGAATAGTTTTTATAAACTGGAGTAATGTTTCCAACAGTAGAGTTAATGGCACACATAATCACAGGATCATTAGGGTTGGAAGGGACCTCTGGAGATCATCCAGTCCAACTCTCCCACCAAGACAGGGTCACCTTGAGTAGGTGACACAGGAACATGCCCAGGTGGGTTTTGAATGCCTCCAGAGAGGGAGACTTCATGACCAGGGCAGCCTGTTCCAATGCTCTGCCACCCTTAGTGTAAAGTTCTTCCTCATGTTGAGGCAGAACTTCTTGTGTTATAGTTTATGGCCATTACTTCTTGTCCTGTCTACACATGTAATGTCTATACATACAGACGGACCTGGTATTATCTTTCCCTTTTTCCTACAAAGGCATGGAAACTTGCACAGAACTCGGATGGTTGAATAGTGACACCAAAAGAACTTCCTGAAACTGACCTTTCTGGGCTTGGGCAAAGCCTGGATATTCTGAGTCTGAGAAATATGGAGAAAAAGGCAATATTCTGTAAAAAAATAGCATTCAAAGAAGGTTTTTTTATAAAAGATAAGAATATTTGCTTCTGCCTTACTATTTCAATTTCCATATAATAAATTATATCAAACACAGAATGCACTGACCTTTTGGAACCAAACATTTTAATAACTTCCTGTGAGACTGGATTAGAGAAACATACATGCATAAATATCCCTTGTGAAACCTTCCAACTTTGTTGACTCAGCACTGTCTCTCAGAAAATCTGTTCTGCAAGAATTTCTTAATTAGGTGTAGCCCCAAATATCACCCACATGTTAACAGGTGAAAAAGTGAAATGGCAGCATTCTGCCCTGCTTTGGCAGGTATATACCATGCAGATGGACAAGCAAGTGGGCAATGAAACCTAGTTTCATGCTTTGCCTTCATTCTACTTATAAAACATAGTGATGAGTCCAAATTATTCCACAAATATAGTGTTCTGATGTCCGCTTAACCCCTAAAATAGCCAATCCAGGTACTAAAATCTCTTTGATTTGTAGTTTTCTTTGTCAAAGTCATAATGACAGGTAAGCCACTGGAACACCCCTTTTTTTTCTTTTTTTTTTTTCCATTTATGTGGTAAGAGAAAGTTTCATTCCCAGGGATATCAGACAGCTGAAGTTTAGTGTAATGAGAGAAGCAAATATTGGGACAGAGAAGCTGGTCTTTGGAAAGGACTCAGTGTACAGGAAAAACTTGTCATATCATTAGACCCTTGAGGGAGAATTAAGAGTGGAAGAAAACTGACAATGAGGAACAGCATTAGGAAGGATGGCAATGTACAGTCTATCTTCTCCCTCATGCTTGGGGTGTGTGTAGGAGATTTAATATGAAGATTAAAAAGAATGGGGATAGGTGTGATACCACAGCTCTTCACTACAGTGAGATTAAACTATCACAAAGCACTGAGTTAACAGTTCCTCTATTTAAGAAAGGAAAAACAAAACCAAAAGGCAAAAGCAAACAAAGACTAAACTAGTAAATTTATTTGCCTGAGCTGATGGATGGATGGCTGATTTTACTGTAATTTCTCTGGGCTTTGTATGCCATTGGGAGACTCAAGAGAGATGTATGTAAAGGAGCGTAACAATTTCGGATAGAAAGGACATAAATTATCTGGCTTCTCCACAGCACATCATCAAATAACAGCTGTTTGGTGGTGGGGTCACTCATTGACATGCTGAGAAGCTCCAACATGCTTTCTCCCCACTTTTGAGCACATCAGAACTTTCAAATTATCACAGATGTCATTATATTTGATTACACAGTTTATGAAAAAACAAGGCAGTGGATTTTACTGGAATACAGTACCTCTGGGAAAGTCATTCACAGAAGGTTTAAATTCAAGTTCCTTCAGTTTCACAACCATGAAAGCCTTTGCAAAGTGGATCCCCATCTTCTGCTGCTGTCTTCTCCCTTGCAAAGTACAGGAAGATCACAGTTGCTGTAGCGCTACATCTTTATGGAAGAGGGTGGTAAAAATGGCCTCGCCATGGCACTCTGGCTGAAAAGGTCATTGAAAATGTGGAAACACCCCTAAAAAATTCAAAGCACATCATTACTGTTTTTATCAGTGAATTTTGAAGGAAACACATGGTCTCAGCCCAGACATGCAACATCTAGAGTTTCTGTCTCTTTCTGGAGACCTCGATCAAATTTAGCACAGGTGAATGCGTAGCAGAGACTTATGTTTTTGTGCTCTCATGCTGTATTCATTCAGTTGTAAGAATCTGACAATAGCAATGTAGAAAAGCCATAAAGCATCTGGCTTCTCTGCAGTCTATCAGCAAACTACAAAATGTCATAAGAATTGCTTAATACTAGGAAAAGGATGGATGCACAAAATTCCCATTTTAGTAGCCTTTACCATCTTGAGGAGGTAACACTGGCAGGAGAGAAAAGTGAATATAAGCCTTTACCCAAATACAAAGGCAAGCTTGCATTGGCAAAATGCTCCCTTTAAAATCTTTGGATATTTTAGTCTAAAAATTACTTTTATCTTAAATACCATTTAATTATACGAGCCTAGACACATGGATATCTTGAGTTTAGGGGGATTTTTTTTGGTAGCACAAAATTTAGGATTTGGCCTGACAGGAAGCTTTTACTGTGCCAGTATATTTAATTACACTGATACGGTTAACTATTAGCTCTTCTGGTCTAACTCTCCCATGTGAGCAGAATATGAGTATTTTAAACCTTTTCAGATAGCTTGAAAATTGCTTCCCAAGTGGCAAACTGAAGTGAGTGGAGGCAGCCCTGTGCCCACAGAATAAACTAATTTTAAACTCTTGTCCTATCTATATGACTTTTTCATGTAGAAAAACCCCTGAGACAAAAGTGCTTTAAAGTCTATTCCATAATACTTACTTCAGTATAATTATTCTTAAATGTTAAGAGTGACCACATGAGGATTAACCCAGAACAGTCAATATGGAAGTGCCTATATATATGGACACTTGTAGGTACTTTACTCTTTCACACCTAACGAAGGCAGCAAGGTGTTGTGGACTGAGGTTCCAAGCGGGAGACAGCAAATTTAATGAGGGCACACCCAGATAAACAATGTGACAAAATGAATTAGGCTACCTAAAATGTCTTCACAGATCCAAGTTTTGTATGTATCAACAAGAGATTGAACAAAGTAATGCAGTTTCTTTTCTTGTATGGGGAATTTCAAGCCTTCAATAAGTCCCTCATAGACACTAAGAAGAAAATTGGGTAGTCGTTGGGCAAGTGGTGAAGAATTGCTATGGATTAGACACTGGTGAAGTAACAAAACAAATAGTCAATTTTCACCTTGGCAAAGCCTCTATGCTAAATCAGTGTTGAAAATATTCATCAATAAATCAGGAATTAAAGAACAGCAAGATGTAATCACTCTTGTAATACAAATAGCAATTAACAACAATATTTGCATTTGACACAAAGCTCTGAGGATAATAGAAGCTGGAAGTGCCTGTAAAGAATCCCACCAGTAGACAAATGGGAAGCACAGCAGCAGATAAAATCTGATCCCCAAATCATCATCATGCCTCAAGGGATTAGCTGCATCCAACATTATTTACAGCTGTCTCAAAGAGAGGAATCACAGTACTCTTCACTGCCACCCACAGCCTGGGTCTTGTCAGTAAGTCCTGAAGGGGCCCAGAGGACACCCCATCCCTGGTATGTGGGCTTAGGGGAAGGAGACAAGGAGCACAAGCTTGGAGGGAGCGAGGGGGAATCCCCTGATGCAGAGCAAGCGCATGGGCCACCCCTCCGTGTCCCTTAGCTACAGAGAGATACAGGTGCCACCACTTCAGGCTTTCTGAAGGGAGTTAAGAAGAAATTTTCTTTTTGAATACATTATTCCATCGGGTGACTTTGATACCTTCTCCAGTATTAACTAGTGTCAGCCACTGCACTGACTCAGAGAGAAGATCTGTGCTGTTAATGCCACACTCCTCTGATGAGGAGAATGACATGGAAATGTCCCAAGTCCTCAGGGACCAGCAAATTGCTGCCAGAAGTCGTTCTCATTCCAGCTGGTAGCAGCAATCCCTGACTCTTGCCATTTAGACTGAGAGACATGCAAAGGAAACAGTCAAAAGTCTCGCAGGCTGGAAAAGGCAAAAGTGCATTTTCACCTAATTAAAAACTGAGACAAATTAATAGTCTACAGTTCTTTTGGTGGTCCTTTGATTTGAGACACCTGACAAGGGTTATAGTTTTAGAAGAGGAGTGCTCAGCTCCTTTGAAAAATCCAGCCCCTAAGAAGGCAGCCTGCATCCCCTGAGGTGGGAAACCTTCTCCATTCCTCCATTACCTGTCATATCCTTACTTATTCACTAAAATGTGAATCAACACCTTGGAAAGGGAAAAATGTCAAAGTGCTGACACCATTAACAAATACCTTGAGCTTACAGTGAATAAAATGATCAAACCACCAGTTTTGGGGATTTTATTGGCGTTCAACTTCTGCTGTATGTACATCTACATGCAAATTGGAAGACAAAAAATACATAGATGTTCAGTTATTTCAAAATAACAAAAGAAAGCCCCAAACAAAGCTTATATATATTCTGAAAGCATACACCATCTCTCGGAGGGCAAACTGCGCCCCTCACTCCCCATCACGCATCCTGATGCCTCCATCTTTTCCCTGGCCAGCAAAAGCAGGTTTCACAGCAGTGCCACTGCTCATGGTACCCATGAGGGCATTGCTCCCTCGTCTCAGCAACTCTGCCCTGGGCAGAGCCTGCCTGCCACCATGGGCAGGCAGCTCCAGCTGGTGGGTAGTAAGCCAATGCAGCATAGCACTGTCAGGGCGAGGTGGGCAAGTTGACATGGGCCAGGACAGCTGAGAGGCAGGAATTACAAACTTTGCCATGTTAGACTGAGCTGATCTTCTCCATAGCCCCTATATGCAGGAGAGCAGCAGGGTTCAGTCTAAGGTGGGAGACACTGAATACAAGTTGGATTTTAAGGACCACATGTTGAGAGGATTCAAAAGCATGAGAGAAATACTACGAGCAAGACTAGAAAATCTCAGGGATCTGGAATAGGTGAGTGGGGGTGAAGCAGCTCAGGGCTAATGGGGAGGAGGGAGGAAGAGAGTACAGAGGGAATAAGAGAGGATGAAACAAGCTTCTGTCATAGTCCAAATACCGTGGTCAGAATAATAGTGCTCTGAAGTGAGACTGAAGGTTTTTTACACAGCGCTAAAATAAAGCATTAGATAAAGTTTGAAGAAAAATTCCAGAAAAAGCCATGATTTAAATGATGCCCATCTGTTTCTTCAAAGAATGCAGAAGAGGATGGATCCCTGACCGTTAATCATGATATATAAGATGATGGTGTTTAAATGAGTTTAGATTGAAAAAAGTATATAGAGGCAGAGAGGACTTGCCTCACCTCTGAGCTATATTTTTAAAGCTATGCCTAAGGTGAGCCTTTAACATAGATCTCTGTCACTAGAGCATCAGCTGAAATATAAATACTGACTATTTTTAAGTGTTTTGAATTCAGGAACTAAAAGCAGTTCCCCCTGTTAGTAGTTCAAATTTTGTTAATTAATTTAGCAATTTCACTAGCTTTTTGTGTGGGGACAGTATCTAATGTAAATATGCAGTGAAAAAATATCCTTTTCTTGCAGAAAATGTTTTTCAGCATGCAGGAAAGAAAGGTTTTCACAGAAGAACTCTAGTGGTTCCTGCAGTATTTCCCCAGCTGTGTGTTTCACCTTCTGCAGAGGTTACCTCTCTGGCAGCAGAGCAAGCAGGAAAGGAGGATGTGTTTGCCTTGGCCAGCCCAGCTTGCATGGGGAGAGACAGGGAATCTCAGCTCCCACAGCAGACTTTCCCTGCAGCAGCTGAAGCATTGACACGCAATCTCTTCTGCCAGCTCTGTTATGGGGACGTGATTTCCAGCAGGGAGAAAATTAAAGATAGTTGAGGACTGAGCCATAAAAATCAGTTCTGCAGTTCATTGACATTTGTTCTTAGTACTTGTTCATTAATTCATTTGTAACCGTCATTTTAGATGTTTGTTATGTTTTTATGAATAAAAAACCATTTACACTCTCCTGTCTGTATAGGCAAGGAACTCCTTTGCACTGGTCTTTTCTATACACACATTTTGTTAAAGGGAAATACTATATAAATTAAAGTTAACCTTTGCCTTGCCAAGATAAAAGATGTTTTTAATGCATTACAGTCTCAATAGGGATGAGGTAGTATTTATTTGGATTCATTTCATCCATTCTAAGTAATTGAAAGTGAGGAACCTAACACCAGGCAATTGATGGATATTAAATTACAATTCATGTGTCTACAAAAGAATGGCAACTTGGTTAAAAACACACCTTTTCCCAGGGGAGACTGTAGTAGAATTCAGAGAGTAAATTGAATTATGGCAGCTAATGAGTTACAGCCCTTCAGCTCCAGTAACTCTTTCTCTGCATATTCTCCTGCAGGGTAGGACACATGTCTCTCCTCAACCCCTGTGTCTCTCAATCCCTGGCAAAACCCCTTCACAGCTGGAGCAGAAGGCAGACAGCCCAGGAGGGCCCTGGACACCACCGCACTGGCATTGCAGGGCTGAGCTCTGACTCCTCAGCAACTTGCTGAACCACCAAAAAAGCAGCACCTTGACAAGCCTGGTAATCTAGACTGTTTGGCTACACTCATTGGCTAGGCACATTAGTCCAATTTACACTAAAACGGTTATGCCACTAGATTAAACTGGTTTACATACATTTTACAGAGATTTAATGGTCATCTTTAAGAGGCAGGGGAGAAGACGGGTTTTCTACCATGCTTGACATAACAAAAGCGTTGAAAGAAAACTGGGTAATGCCAGAATGGAAATGTGACTCCCCTGGTAACAGTGAAAATAAGCAGGGGACACAATGGATGCATACCACTAGAAAATTTTGAATAAGTTGTCTTCCTCAAAAGTATGCTCTAATTTTCTCCTGGATATGGGAACTTTTTGCTGAAGTCTCCAGGCTCATGCTATGTAAAAAAACTGGAGGATCCAGTGATTTCTCTACC